AATGGGTTAGGGTTACGTATGGGTAAGGGAGGAGTATTTTAGTCTACTTTTTTTTGCTTTTTGAGTGGGGGGGTTATTTGCTAAGGATAATAATTTTGGGGAAAAAATTGTTAGGAAATATTAGGTGGGGGGTACAGTGCTTAGGAAGCCCATTTTGAGGGGTTTTATGTAATTTTTTCTTTTTAATTTTTCTTTTTCCTCTTATTGCAGTTGAAAAGGCATGAACTAAGGATAAAACCATCAAAATTGCACAAATATTAAAATTGATGAGGTTTCTGCTTAAGCTTTATGAAAACAGAATAAAGTCTCACCTCAAATCCTCATTCGGAAAGTACTTTCGGCAAAATAAATTTCTATGGTTCAAAAATCAATTTCCAACACCGACAATAAATTTTGAAACTCAAAAAAGTACACACAAAGTTTTAAAGCAAAATAAACGGTCTAGATAATTTGTTACAATATACACTATTTTTAGAGCCTCATTTTTTCTTTTTTTTTCACAACGATACTGTTCAAGTCGAGATGATCGATGTAAAGGTTTTCCTTGACATGCAATTTTTTGTGAGTTCTGCAATTTTTTGTGAGTTATGAAGTGAGGATCTACTTATTTTGATAGTGTTGCAGCCCTATCAAATCATTTTCTTTTCAAAAATTCCTCATTGGTTTATACCCCCATATTTGACACATTCATGCATATAGGGGTGGCAATAGATCCGGTTAGACTTGAGACACGACCTCAAGTCTGGTATGGGTCCAAATTTGGGACTCAATACTATTTGGGTCCAGGTCCGGTCCAACCGTACTAGATTCGTACCCATAGTTAAAGGGCATATGATGGCAATTATATGCCTTTTTAGGCACACGTTAAGTGTTCATACTGTCACAATATTAGCAACATCTATATATTATTGGTAAAAAAGATGAAACTCAAAGTCATAGGGTATATATATATATATATATATGAGAGTAATGATCTTATAGGATTCTCCTCCATCCATGTGTGTAAGACCCCAAAGAATCACCATCAAACATCGAAGATAAGTATAAATTCTGCAGATATTGTTACTCTTCCAAGAAAATATTGGGTTTTGTAAACCCTAGATTTCATTCATATTTGATGATTGAAAGGAGTGATTCTAGTTTTAGCAAAACCTCTTGGAAAAGAGAACAAAAGATGCAGAGAGCAAGTAATAATATAAAAGTCAGCCATATTTCTTCACTTGCAGCTGTGTGAGTGGTAAATTCATCGGCATGAGTCCAATCACAATATAATGCTCTCAAACCCTATACCTATACCGCCATTAGCTACACCCTGCAATGAAATATTTATTTATAAAAAGGCATCTAGAGCTTTATAGCTTAGTCAGATTCATCAATTCTAATTTCTGCTCGTGAGGGGTTAATTCTATGTCTTACCGTCAATCTACCATATAACTTTATTCCCTAGTGAACTTATTGTAATTCATAGGACCACCAAGTTTCATTTTTTTTACCGAATTTTCCACCTAAGCGATGAACTTCAATTGTATAGATTCCCAGCATAGGCTCTATGCATGTTATGCATATAACCATGGGTACATGCTGTATGTCATCCATCAGGCAAAAACCTTTTATAGATAATAAAATTTTGATTTTTCTCTCAAAATAATTAAGTTTGAATTTTTGTTTTTAACTTAGACAATTTTTAGATCTCAATATTCTTCTACAGGTTTTTCTTGCGAATACATAGTATGTGCCCAAAGGCTTACTAGGATTTGAAAACCCTTACTCTCCAAAGCGTTATAGGAAGAACCAAAATTTTATTGATAAGTTCTCTCATGAGGACTTTTTTTATTAGTGGTCCCACTGGTTTTCGTAACCACTAAAATAGATATTTGATATATTTTTAGAAATATATTTGACATCTAATGTTCTATTACCTTGGATGCCGAGGTTTATATTGTCTAGAGCCTCAAACAATATCCTAAATTGTTCTTTGTTTTGTGGGAGCAAACAAGTAGTTTCCTTCCTCACCAACACATTGCAAATATAAGGTTTCTTTATAATTATGCTTATCATTACTTTGGTCCTCTTCTTCATTAAAACATAATACTTAATAATAGGATAATTTATACTATAGTATAATAAATATAATATAATATAATGCAATATAGTATAATATAATAGAAAAAAATTATATAAGGTTGCAACCTTAAAATTTAGAAAGTCCATCACAACAACAATTTTGAACCCTAAACATAGTGTATCTTGCAAAAAATTATCTACACCGTCCATTTTCAAGATTTTCATATGTTTATATATATCTACTTGATTTTTTAACCAATTTTTTAAATT